AATCATTATAAAACATACGGAATTTTGATATAGAATCATTAATTACGTATACAAACCTTATAAAAAACGTATCATTTTCTTATTTCAATTTCTTATAGGGTATAAAAACTTAATAACATAAATATAATAAATAAATAAATAAATAATATAAAATAAATAAAATAAATAAAAATAATAAAATAAAATATATAAAATAAATAAATAAGTAAACTTAATAAACTAATAAAATGATATAAATAATATTGATATTATTTGATAATCTATATTATCCAGATCATCCAAATGTAATAATATTAAATATTAATCTTATTATATAATATATTATTATAAGCTATTTAATATAATTTTAATTTAATTATTATTTTTATTATTTTATTTGAAAATTATAATTTTAATTAGTGATACTTGTTTAAACTCTTTTTTAAAAAAAGTAATTGTCAAAAAGATTTATCTTTTTATTTTTATATGAATAAATATATTTTTTAATATATTTTAATTTAAATAATTCAAAAAAATTAAATATAATTTCAACAATTAAGTAAAATAGTCTTATCATTTTAATTTTGTTAATTTTGTCTTGTCATATTAAGAAAAATAGTTTAGCAAATATTACTAATATTAATTTTAATTTATTTTAATTAATTATGATTAAATTAATTTTTACCTAAAAATATAATTTAAATTTTATTTAAATATTTGAAATTATAATTTAAAATAAGTTAGAATTTTTTTTAAATATATGAAATTTTGATTCCAATTATATAAATTATCAAAAAATTAGAATATTTAAAATTAATTCAAATAAAACTTATATTTTAAAATACTTAATTAAAATTTAAAATTTTTAAAAATTATATATAAATATAATAATTATATAATAACATTAAATTATTTATAACTTTTATAATTAAGAATTTATTTATTTAAAAAGTAAATCTTTCAAAAAATTATAAAATGTAAAATAAAGCAAAAATTATTAATTTATTTATTATAAATTTTTTTTTCAAAAATTAAAATATAATTTTTTAATATTATAATAATAATTTAAATACAAATTCAAATTCAATTAATTTTAACATTAAATAATAAAATACTATATTTCAATTTTAATAAATGAATTTTTAGCTTTTTAGTTGTAATATAATATTTTTATTAAAAAAAATAATTTAGTAAATTTTTACTTTCTATAGATAGTAGTATTGATATTATACTTAAATGTATTTAATATTTAAAATGAATATTTCAGATATTCTAAATCAGAAAATAATATTTAGGATATTTTATTTTAAATATGCATTTATTTTAAATGTATATTTATCTCAAATGATTATTTAAGATATTCCAAATGAACTTTTCTAAATGATCACTTTAGAAATTATTTCAAATGCTTATTTTAGAACTAAAATGCTTACTAAAATATCTTAAATGATCATATCAGATAATATTCTAATTACTTATTTTAGATATTACAAATAACCACTTAGATAAAGTTCTAAACAAATTGAATCAATCTGAAATTTTTTCAGTTTCTGTTCGAATTATAAACAAAAAATTTTGGATCAGCTCAGATTTTTTCAAATTATAATTCAATCAAAATGAAAAAATCTGAATTAAATAAATTCTATCTAAAGAATTTAGATTAATTTAAAGTTTAGTTAATAATAAATGCTTCTGAATTTTAGTGTTTTTTTTTTAATTAAAAAAAACTAATAATATTATTCTGAATTATCAAGAGTATCATAAGTGACTTTTATTAAAAAAAAAAATCTAATAAAAGTCAAATTCAAATTATTAGAGGTGACTTTTATTAGAAAAAATACTAATAAAGTTATTTCTAATAATTAAGGAATACTTATTAAAAAAATAATAATAAAAGTTATATCCAAACTGTCAAAAGTAAACTTTATTAGGAAAAATAATAATAAAATACATTCAAACTTTAGAAGTGACTTTTTCTAGGAAAAATAATAATAAAAGTCACATTCAAACTGTCAGAAGTGACTTAAATTATGAAAAAAATAACAATAAAAATCACATATGAATTGTCAAAGGTTATTATAAAATAATAATAAAAGTTTGCATCTAAACAGTTAGAGATGATATTTATCATAAAAATAATAATAATGTTACATCCAAATTGTCAGGTAACTTTTATTATAAAATAAATAATAAAAGTCCCATCTGAAACGTTAGAGGTGGCTTTATTAGTATTTAATAACCTGAAATTTTGGATTTATCTGAAAAGATTTAATTCATATCAGATTAATCAAAGGTTTCAGACCGTTTAGTTCAGATTGACATTGAACTGAACCAAAAGTTCCAGATCAGATCGATTGGGCGTCTAATCTGAACTGATTCATGATTTTCAGAACTTTAACTTCGGATAATATTTCAAATGCTCACTTTGGATAAATATCCCAAATGCTCATTTCAGATCATACCCCAAATGACCACCACTTCACACTTCAAATTGTCTCAAATAGCCACTTCAAATTATCATTATTTTATGCTCCAAAAAACCATTTCGAACAAATATATGGAATCTTAAATTAGTAATTCAATTTTTGGACATATGATGTTAATTTCCTATGTGTTGTGTCTGTAAATGGTTCGAAGAGGTCATTTGTCCGAAATTACAATTTGCGAATGTCTGAAGTAGTAATTTGGGATTTATCCGAAGTGGTCATTTGGGATATCCGAAATGAGCATTTAGGATATAATCCGAAGTGAACATTTGGGATAATTTCCGAAATGATCATTTGGGATATAATCCGAAGTGAACATTTGGGATAATTTCCGAAATGATCATTTGGGATAAATGCGCATTTAGGGCAAATGCATGTCCCGAAACGATCTTCGCATTTGGGCCGATTTATTTCCGAGATGCTCATTTCGGACATTAACTCATTTGGGTACAACATATTATTGGAAATGACCTCAAATGACATCATTTTATTATAAAAAAATTTCAAGATCATTTGAAAACCTTATGATTTGCTTTATATTACACAAAACTTCATGATGCCCTCGACACATGTTCCCTCGCACATGATTTTCTACCTACGAAAGAATTGCTTACGTAATTGGAAAAGAAACCATCAAGATGGAACGCCGCACCTTCACGCGGTAATAAAATTTAACAAAAAATGCAATTTTCTTTCTGCGTATTTCGCCGATTTTATCCGGAAACCCAACTGGTGGTTCTTTACCATGGTTCGCAATTGGCATTTATCCTGCCAATACGCACGAAAGGACGGGAATTATATTGATGAATCAAACAGTATTGTCATAATGGAAGGAAACTGATCTTCCCCTTCTGCTGATGCATCTACGAAAAATTCTGGAGAATTTAAATGGTTTTTTGTGATGATTCTTCTGGTGATAATTTGATTTTTCTTTTGGTGTCTCTGGATGCTTTATTGACGAATGCTTTATTAACGAAGAGGTTTTCCAAGCAATAAAGAAATCCAAATTCAAAGAGGAATTTCTACAATCATTGTTATTATTGTTATTGACAAAACCTGCCGTATTCATTAATAATTTTAATAATATAAATATAAATAACGCGGATAACAGGTCTCCTAAAAAACCCCTTACTGTATAATCCCGATGGTAATTTATATATCTAGGATGAACTTAATAAATTTTTAAGTCCTGATTATAAAAGAATGATTCTGACCAAAGATGATAGTTAAAAAGATTCACATTTTTTTTGTTCTCCAGTTGATCACGATTCTAAATTTGTATCAGCTTGTTTAATAAATGAAATGGGTGCCTTGCTGTTTGTTAATGACGTTCAAGAGTAGATTGATTTTCATATTTAATATTTAAAATTAATAATAGGCTTCATTTTCAAGATATAATAAGAGACGCTTCAGCTCAAGAACCAACTTCATTATTAATAAATTCACCGAACGTTCGATCAAATATAAAAATCAAAGTTATAAAAAATCCTCAAAACTAACAATCATCCCGATATTCTAAATTTCAAGACCATAATTTATTTAGACCGACCTTACATAAAGACTTACTGTCTTACTTACGCGATCAAAAAATTATAGGGACTGCGATTTAAACCTTGCTGCGCTTGTGTTAATTTCTAGCACGTTGAAGTCCGCTGATCTGAACTACTTTAAAAATTATTTTGAATTTGAAAATTCTATTTTTAAATCGGAATAACCGTTAAAAAACATCAATACTAAAAATTAGTTCTAACCTAAAATGATAGTCCCGTCCACACTACTATAATATTGTTGGTTCTTTGGACCATATGCACTTGTCAGAGATCACGAAGATCAGTTGGTTTAAAATTTAACCATTTGGTAAAGGTAAATTGTAGTAATTATTGACTCTCTAAGCATGTATTTTTTTTAATTGCTGATTTCATTTCACAATTTTGCTACTTACATATGATGAGCTTATTTTGATGATCAGAAAAATTATTCATTTTCAATAAATAATGTTTCTTCTTCAATTTTGGTAATAAATAGTACTTGCCGGTTAATAATTAAATGAATATTAAAATCGTTACAATTAAATGATAAAAAAAGAAAAAATAAAACGTCCTGCCGAAACGTCTATTTCAGAATTTTATTAGAAAATCGAATTTCCTAAACCAACTTTAGAGTGCACGCGAATATCAAAATTAATCGTCCCATGCACGCTTATCCTAAATATTTTTTATTTATATACCTGCTTAATTTTCTCATTTTCTTTTATCATCCCTTTTTATCCTGATATAACAACTCCCTTGCCTTCGCGTCCTTCTCACCTTCATTTTTTTTAAATTTAAACAACGGTAAGTGAAAGGATTTTATTTTTTATTTTTTTTTCTTCTTCTAGGTTCAATTTTCATTGTTTTAGATGCTTGCAATCCCTCAAATGCTCTCGTATTACTTTTTTTTTTTTTGATAGGGGGACACCTTTTACACCCCGATTTTTTTTTTTTTAATATTTGCAATATTAAAAAGAAAAAAATATGTTTAAATCCGTAACATCATTATTTTTCAAGACCACTAGTACACAATCAACTGGTATTACTGTTACTAATACTATCACAACAAAGATTTCAGTGACGGATTTTGCTTATTTTGATTCTTCCAATGGGTTTGAACCTTTTACTATGGATGTAAATCATAAGAATAGCCTTAGCATTTCCAAAAAATTAGAAATAAAAACAAACGATGACCCTTTCATACCACCATTAACGTTGGAAAGTCAACAACAAAATTTACAAAAATCGGGATTGATACACAAAATCGTTCAACATTCATTAACGAAACACATTTTATCAATTTCACCGATAAAAGTAAATTTCAACGAAAGCTTTCCATTTTTACGAGTAAGACATCATTTGAAACGACAAAATGATGACTCATCTATTTATACTTTCACAGAAGAAAGATCAAACTTTTTGTTTCATAATCAAAGTATGTCAAGTATGTTATTAACTGGCTTCAATAACGTAGCTCCTACTTTAATTACCAATATTAGTTCCAACACCAGTAGTAATGTTACCGATAGTAATGATAAAGATATTAGTAATATTATCGATAATGATGTTACCGAAATTGAAGAAGAACTTCTTTGTAATAATGATGAAGAAACCATTCAAGAGGCTTCAGAAAATCCAGCAGAAATGAATGGATCAATAGATAGTCCAGAAGTTAAAGAACCAATGATTTTAATGAATGCTCAGGATAGTAATCAGAGTGAATTTAGAAAAATGGCAGAGGAAATAATAAAATTTGAAGAAATTCGTGATGATATCAAACTTTCTTTTAACGCATTGACAGAAGACAAGGACACACTTCCAAATGAAGGATCTGGTAATTTAATTCGTGGTGAAAGTTCAGCAACAATGGTGGTTAATAAAAAACGAAAAAATATATTCTTTGGAAGATTTCACACAATTCATTCTTCTTCACCTAATAACGAAACTTCTAAATCTCAAGAAAATGATTTAAATAAACCGGCTAATCTAACAACGTCAAGAAGAAAGTTTAGCTTTAGAAAATCATTAAGACTTAAGACCATTGCTACTGACGGTATAAAAAAATCAGACGAAGATGAATTTGAGAATACTGATACTCGTTATAACTTGTTTAACAGTCTGAAGAGAAAAACATTTAATGGACGTTTAAATAGTTCCTTAGAAGGTTTAAAGTTTAACCAACCACAATAAAGTAATAAGTTACCGAACATTGAAATGATTAAAAATTTTATTTTATTATCTTATTTATGTCTGTGTATGGTATAATTAAGATTTTCAATTTTACCTAAAATATTTAAACATCCATCACGTAATCATTAGAAAACAATGAAAATCAAAAATCATTACTGTATATATATACGTGTGTCTGCCGTGATTGTCAAACAACATTATTGGTACATTATCTATGTCCCATGACTGACTAATTTCCCGTGCCATGGATTACAAAGTTTGTTCATAGTGCATAGTTATTATGTTTCAGATCCGGTATATGTGACAAATAATGCGTGACAAATAGAAATTTACAAAAAAAATTTCCCATCCCAAGTATGCTTGATAAAAATGAATGGTTATTTAATCCGAGTGTATTGTTATATAAATCGTTGTTATGTTAAAATCGATATTTTATACGTTTAAGCACAAATCTTTAAAGCCACTAAGTGATTTGATTTCGATTCAAGTTGTCGGTTGACTTGACTTGCTTATTCATTGCATTGTTCTTAAGGAAGGTGTCTCAGCATTACTATTTTTCAATTTTTAATTTTTTTTTTTTTTTATCTATTTATCTTTCTATCTTTTTCATTATTACAAATCATCATAAAATCTTCCCAAAATAGACGGAAATCTACTTAAACCTTTGATGTGTGACGTTTGACAAACATGTCCAAGTTGAAAAGCCCAAAAATTTAAAAAACAATCAAATCATTTATTTATTCAAGTGCGCCCATCCCTTTCATTCCCTGAGGAAAAAAAAAATTATTTACGAATTTTTTATTTACTAAAAACCAAAATCTTTTTTAAATATTTACATAAAATTTTTTTTTTTATTCTTTTTTTTTGTTTTGATGGTCCTAAGGATCCATTGTATACCCGGATATAATATTTAAATATGTTGACATTATACGATGAATTAAGAATTGAAATATTTAAACATATACCAACTCCTATAAACCTTTTAGTTTCAAATCGTAAATGGCATAATATCTCTCAAGACCCTCATGCCCGAGTCGAATGGTTAATTTTTAAGTATGGTAGAGCGCACGCAATATTTCACGCCGTGAGGCTTGGCAACGGCTTCATAACAGAAAAGGTCATACATTTGCTCTTTAAAAAAGCGATACTTTCTAGATATCTTATGCAACGTTTATTGAGGCATTTCGGTATTGACGAAAAGCTCATTTCCCCTCATTACCTGAAATCCGTACATCACGTAATTCAAATCGACTTGGAAAGATATCGTACCTATCATAAGAAATTACCCTTGCCTTGGGGAAGTAATATATCTTTAACGAATCTCACCAACCTAATTACTGAAGGATTTAAAATCTTAAACAATCAAAATATTTTGGATCAAGGGAATGATATGGAGTACTTTCGATATTTATTAGGCGATTCTCGTTTTTATCGTGGACCCGCAAGGCCTGCCCATCATGAACAAAATTTTGATCTCATTAAAGATTTGATCTCGATAAACAAATTTATCCCATTCCCACCACGTCCAAAACTTAAATATGAAGATACGATAGATTATGTTAAATTATTAAAAGCCAGAACTCGTGAAGAATATCCATCTAAGGATGGTTATGAGAACAATCGTCAACTGAATGTGGTGGCTAAAGCGTTATTGACTCATCCGGATTTGATAACCTTATGGAAAGAAATTGGCTATCTTGAGATTTGTAACGATACCAATGATTACGTAATACGAAGCGCATTTCATAAGCTCTTCCCTCCTACCCCATCAAATGATTGGGAATCCCCTGATGTGGAAACTGTCGTTGCTCGTATAAAAGAACTTATTCAACGTGGATTCATATTATCTCTTGATGTTATAGAAGAAATATTACATTTTTTTGAACTTGGACATAAATTAAAGGCATTCGGTGATCTTTTAATGGACTCTTTTCAAAACATTCGTAATGAATCGAAATCTGATATCGCATTTTCATGTCTTATCCTTGCAATGAGACCCGAGAGAAATTCCAAGAAGAACGAATTATTAGTATTTTTAATTAAGAGAGTGGATAAACAACCTGAAGAAACTCTAAAGGCGGCATTGGATTATCATAAAGCTGAATTTAAGTTTGATGCCGAATCGATCAGGACAACCAAAGAAATCCGTTCCTTAGCAGTCAATTCAAATATCTACAGTTGGATACTTGAAACTTACGGTCCCGATTCTGAGGTTACGCAGAAATGCTTTGATGACATTGTTGAATCCCGAATTTGGATCGATTTAAAATTACAAGAAAATCCTGACAGAGAAATTCCGGAGCATCTTTCACCCCGATCTTTTTATTCTATTTGTTCCATTTACCATGAATTTTGTAATCACAAAGTTCCGATTAAAGCAAGTTACTTGCAATACATACAATTGGCAAAAAGTTATGAAATCATTCACCCATTTTTTAAAATAAGTTTGCCAATTATATTTGGACTACAATTGGAAGAATTCTCTTTAAAAGTTTCATATGACTATAACAAGCCAGAAATTATACTAAATCCCAGAGCTCAAAATAATAGACAATCCAATGAAATCAATAATATTCCGCGAAATCATGCTGAAAGAAAATATTGGTTCATTTTACTTGAAAATATATATCATAACATATATCAACCAAATTATGCTGATATTACCGAAAATTTCAAGGAGAACCTGGAATACTTTTGGAGAAGGATTCATGGACATTACTAAAAAGTACAAAAGTATACGATGGGCTCTCAGGTGAAGAAATTCTGCTGCTGCATCTGTGTTGTTAATTTATTGTAATTTTAAATAGCATACCGAAATTCCATTAATTCAATTCTATGGATCGAGTTCAAAATCTTGAACCTTGTCTTATCATAGCAACAAACATATCTTTCGATCAAACATTAATCTTTTCGTTGAGAAATTTTAATGAAACGAGATGACAAGATGGGGGAGGGACCGCTTTATAAGGTGATGACGTGTTCTATTTGAGAATCAAAATAAATGATGATAGGATCAATAATCCAAAAATGAATGGAAGGAATTTTTAAACAAAAAAAAATTACAAAATGTCTGAAAATAAAAGAAAAATTTTAAAATAAAAAATAAATTGATTTATTGTATATACTTTTCATAATTTACGCTTTTGTTTTCATTTTAACTGTGTCACAATTTTCTCGATTTAAATCGTTTATGTATTTAGATTTATAATTAAATGATTTGACCGGATGAAGAAAAGCGCCAAGAATATGGAATACAAACGAACCCTTATATAGTCTCACTCGAAATTGTTTAGGCATAAATGATTGCTTCTATAGTCACGTCATATAGCTTGTTACACATCACACCCAAATTTTGTGAGGAGTCGACTTTATGCTATATAATTTAATTATAAAATCATAAGTTTTTACCTTTGGGTTAAAAGGTTAGAAAATCAGGTTTAGATAATTTTAATAATTTAATTAAAAAAGTTCTTTTTAACTTTCAACATATTTAATAATATTTTAAAAATATTTTAATCACCGTATAATCCCGAAAATAAGCACCTTATTTGCTATGGAGGTGCTTATTTTCAGGTAAGTATTATTTTTAGTATCAAAACATCAATCGACGATAACCCGTGAACTAGTGATTATATATATAATAATAATGTTTAGCTCATTGGATTCGTTTTAATGAGGAATCGAATGGTATAAATTTCATAAATTTTGGATAGAAATTGACCGAGACACCATCAAGAGATACTTATTTTTGGTAAATATATAAATGCGAGGATGCTTTTTTTTTCGGGGTGCTTATTTTCGGAACTATACAGTATTTATAAATGATTTTTATAAATTTATATTATTTTTTAAAATATTAAATAATTAATATAATAAATATCTTAATTTAATAAATAATTTATTTTATATTTATTAACTTAATAATAAATTTGATTAATTGTCGAATAAATCATAATATATATATATATATTGTGATCTGTTCAATGACTTGAATTAGGTTATTATTACCTATCCATTTGTTAACTATCCAATATCACAATCTAGCAGTTGTTTTATAAACTATTTTTTTGATAGGTAGCTCTATAAGGCCCTAGATATTATTTAGTTAATTTCTGCTACATTATCTTATGTAATGATATGGGAGGTGATTAGTAGAAAAGGGGAAAATCCAAATTTTGATCAAAATTTATATTATTGGACCATTTGGCTGATCTCAGTCATGTGCACAAAATTAGCTTAATAATTAAAATTAACAAAAAATTTTGGATTTTCCCCTTTTCTACTAATTACCTTCCATATATTATATGATAACTTCGTGATCTAATAGTAATGATGATTTCATAATCTAATAGTATCATTTTTTTTTCTCTTCAACTTTTTGATTTTTCAAAAAGTTATCTATATTCTAGCCAATTTTTGCAGCTTTTTTTATTACTTATTTGTATATTTCTATACTTTTTTTATACTCAGGTTGATGTATATGTGATAACTTACTTCTATATACTTTTTATCCCTTTATTATACCTCATCATTAGCCTGCTTCTGCATCCTTTTATTGCTAAGTTTTAGGTTAGCTATTGAAAAATAAAAAAAATCATTTGTATGGCTTCTTATGTGTTTATATCTTTTTTATTATTTGTTATATGATTATTTGAGTTTTAGAATTTAAATTTACATATTTAAATAAAATTATTCTCATTTATCTGATAACTTCCAGAAGCGTATATCAAACTCATCAAAATACTTTTGTCAGCCTGACTTCGCTTACCTTTATAATCGTTAGCCCATTTTAATCACATATTTTAAGAAAGAGAGAAAAAAGAAAAATAAGGTATTAAACCTACTTATATAAAATACATGTTTTTTTTGATTATTATTTTGCTTACATTGTATTGAAAAACTAAGAAACTGAATTTACATTGGCATTAAAACCCTATAAATGCAGTTCTATAAATATTATTTATATTTCTCACAATGCTTTTCCAAAATTCTTTTTGCAAGATACCTTCTATGTCATGATACTCCTAGAAAAATATTATATATAATTCATCTTAACAATTTAAAAAGCAATATATATATATTTTTTAAATTAAATAAATAAATAAAATATTTACTTAATTGTAATCTTTTCGTTCATTAATAAGCGTAATGTCAAATTGTTATACCATTGAAAATGAGTAACAGTAATGGTATTTGAAGAATTTGTTGAAGACATTTTTTTGTAATTTAAATTTTTGATTTAATTTAGTATAAAAAGAAAAAAGAAAACCTTATTTATATATTTGAATTATATAACACAAATGTATATTCAAACAATTAAATGATTTATTCAAGCTTTTACTTTGTAAAAAGCTTTTACTTGAAATATTTAATATGTTAATATTTTTGTATAAAATTTATATTATTCATTTGAAATTTATTTTGCAACATGAATTTTCTAATATATCACACAAAATTTCTGTTATCTCGGTATTTTTTATAATTTAACTTTTTGCTAATTATTAAATTATTACAAAATTTTTAATTTGATTTTATAAAATATTTAATGTCAGCATTTTTGTATTATGCATTTAAAATTTATTTTGAGATATAAATTTTCTAATTTAATATAATATATCACGCAAAATTTCTATTATATCAGCATTTTTATAACTTAACTTTCTGCTAATTATTGAATTATTACAAAATTCTTAATTTAATTTATAATATTAATATATCAAATTTGATTAAAACTCAAAATTTCATTAATTTTAATTGTAATATATCATTATCTCATATTTTTAAAATTTAATTAATCAGAAATGATCAAATTTTAATCAGAATAAGTTTGACACTGATTAGGTTTAAACAATAGAAAACAATGGAAAAATCATGTAAAGATCAGGTAATGTTAATATAAAGTTAAGTTTTAATAGGAAATATTCCTAAACTTAATTTTTGCTAATTCAATAAAATCAAGTTTGATATTACCATAAAACCTAAAAAGATCAGAAATGTTTCTTAATCATCTATTATATTTTTTTTTCTGAGAAAAATAATGTTAGAATTTTCTTAGCCTTATTTCCTTAGCCCAAAATTTTGATCATACTAAGCGTTCTCATAGTCTAAAATTTTGATCACATTAAGCTGTTCTTATAACCCAAAATTTTAGCTACAAAATCTTTCCTATTGTTTTAGTTTTTTATAAATATGAATAATACAGAAAATAAAGTTGATCATAAGCATGAAGAAATCTTACCTCCTTCTTCTTCTTCATCATCACAGTCAAATGTTTGAAAATTTTTCTCAAAAAAAAAAAAAAAATAACAAAATTATCACAAAATATAATACTTGTAGGAATGTAATTTACTTGGTTAATGGTAATAATAGTGATGCAACTTTAAACTTTTGAGCTCATATAAAAAAATGTATAAGTCTCTATTTGGTATATCAACTAATTAGTACACAATTGAACAATGTTCAAATACAAATAAAAGAGTAAGTAAATCATATATTAACATTTTATTTTTAAATTAAATAAATATATTATATATATAAAATAATTAATTATAATTTTATTATTAGCCAATTATAGAAAGTAGTTTATGAAAATCTTTATGTGAATGGATTATTCTGAAGATCACATATTTTCAATTATTGAAGGAAGAATCAAAAATGTATTAAAAAAGGCTACTGGATTTACAATTATATCATCTGATATAATAAAGAGAGGTATAATATAGAAGTTTGTCAAATTTCAAAGTTATATCCAAAAAATTTTAGCAGAAACTCCAAGAAAAGTATCATTTTTTTTGAATTTTTGGACTTCTGTTGTAGTTAAAATGTATATAAGTATTACAATTCACTTTATCGACAAATTATGAAATCTTTGAGAGCTTACACTTGACTTTAATGAATTAGAAAGCATTATTCTAATAAATAAAAAACTAAAAGTTAATCAATATATTAGATATATACAAGATTTCTATAAAGATTTGTAGAACTATTAACATATGTTTATTTTGATTTTTGTATTATAAATAGAAATTATACATATAATTAATTTTATAGATTAATTGCATTACAACTGATAATGTTCTTAATAATGACACAATATTTATATAGCTTGATTTATAAGCATTAGAAAATAATATAACTTTTTCAGTTAAAATAATCACATTCGATATTTTGCTTATATTTTGAACCTTGTGATTCAATATGTTTTAAAAGAACTTAAATGTGAAATAGATTGAATCAGAAATATTATTATTAACTTTCTAACAATGACAAAAATTCAAAGAAATTTCAAATCTTAATAACATTAAAATCTCTCTCTAATTTTAAACATTTTAACTCATTAGAATTTACGTACAAAATAATTAAACATGCTTTAAATTTGAAAATAATTAGTACTTTAGTTAAAATTTAAATTATTAAAGATTTATATATAATTAATTAAAGATTTTATATAATTAAGTTTTTGATAAAAT